ACTGCACCCATTGCCTCGCCCTGCCTAGGAAGCTTCTTCGACGTAGACTCAAGGTTGCATCCACCCAAAGCACGGACGCACAGTACGACTCGGACGCTGGAGTAGGTGAAAGCGTTGCAGCTCCGGGGACTTCCCGGAGCATGCCTTCTCTCAGTTGGGCTGACCAGTCTAACGAGGGCCTACTCGAGGAAATCCTTCCTGGTATTTCCTCGCTCGACTACGAGCCACCCGGCTCAGGCGAGGACGAGGACCCTGCTATACTTGGTGGCTCGGACGACGAGGAAACCATCCCGTCCGCCCAAGCTCCCCCGGTTAGCGGCTCAGCTACACTGCCGCACGTGGTCCTTCTCAAGGTGTGTGAGCGAGCGGCGGCTCGTTTTGGCATGGAATGGCCGGCCCTCCAGAATGCCGCCAACCAAGAGAGGGATGTGTATGACGGCAAACTCCTAGGTCCCCCTCCCGGTCCTAGGAAGCAGCTCATGCCTGTACTCCCTGCGTGCGCTAAGCACATGTGACACTATTGGAAGGACCCGCTAGATCTTAATCACGGCTTGGCGGGTCTGGAGGTTAAGGATATGGCAGCGTGTGGCATGGGCGACCCTCCCACCATCGAGCCCTCGATTGCCAGACACCTTAACCCCTCGCAGGGAGGGTTACTGGCCCCTCCTAAGCCAGTTCTCCCTAATAAGATGGACCGCTTCTCAGCATCTGTCTTCCAGGCCTCGTACAAGGCCTTGGCTCTCGCGGTACGGGCTCTAAATGTTTCCTCCCTCCTCTCGGCCTACCAGGCTGAGCTGTTGGAGGATATGAGTTCTCATTTGGAGAAAGGCGTGTCATCGCCGACGCTGTGGAAGGAGATCGTTACCGTGAACGACCTGGTCCTTCGTAACGCCCACCAGGCCGTCCAAGCCGGCGGACGTTCTATGGCCCTCTGTGTTGTGGGGGAATGCGCCCTCTGGCTCAATCTCTCTGGTCTGCCCGACAGCGAGAAAAGACGCATAGCAGGAGCCCCAGTGAAACCAGGCCAGGCTCTTTTTGGCCCTGCTGTTGCACTTATCCAACACCGGTGCGATGATAAGAAGGAGGATGAGGCGTTTAAACTGTGCCTGCCTACAAAGGCCACTCCACACCATCCCCCCGCACGGCCCCCTCAGGCCCCGGCCACAGGGCGGCCGTACCATAACACAGCCAGGCCTAAGGCTCGCAGCAGGCCACCCAGCCAGCAGCCCAACCATCCTCCTAAGCCACCCACTCTACCCCGTCGGACGGGAAGAGGAAGAGGCCTACCTGATGCTCAGCTCCAGGGGCTTCTCGGTCCAGGTTTTCAGGCGACCAGCCCATTGGACACAAGTTTGAGTCCACAAGTTTGAGTTACGGGCGACCCATGTCCCTGGCATACTGAACAGGGCCGCATACCTCTTGTCAAGGGGAAACCCTCTCTACGAGGACTGGCGCCTCCATCCTCAGATAGTGGGTCTACTGTGGAGGAGGTTCGGCCAGGCAACCGTAGATCTCTTCATCTCGCGCGAAAATGCCCATTGTCCTATGTTCTTCTCGCTACGGGACGAGGACGCCCCCCTCGGCGTGGACGCACTGGCCCATCCGTGGCCCAACATGCTGCTCTATGCATTTCCTCCCCTTTGCCTCATAACGCCGGGTGAGGGAACAGAGCTTGACCATGATTTTGATAGCTCCCAGGTGGGCCAAGGCACCGTGGCTCTCAGAGATTATCCCTCTGCTGTATGCCCAGCCATGGCCCCTCCCACTTCGCACAGACCTTTTGTCTCAAGCGAACGGGGAAATTTATCACCCGCTCCCAGACAGGGTGGCCCCCTGGGCCTGGGCCGTGAGAGGGCCAACTTAAACACATTGGGGCTCCCCCCACGTGTTGTGGCCACCATTCAGTGTGCCAGAGCCTCTTCGACGCGGTCTCTTTACGACTGTAAGTGGCGTGTGTTCGAAGAGTGGTGTGAAGGGCGACGGGTAACGTCTTATCAGTGCTCAGTCACTGACATTTTATGCTTTTTGCAGGACCTTATGGATAAGGGAAGATCCTTTTCCACAATTAAGATCTATTTAGCAGCTATCGCTGCATGTCATGTGGGGTTCGACAGCGCTACGGTGGGGCAACACCCCCTTATTCGTAGGTTTATGAAGGACGCACGCCGCTCTCTTCCAGTCCCCAGAAGAGTCGTTCCTGAGTGGGACCTCTTCATGGTGCTGGATGCGATGTCTCAACAGCCGCTTGAGCCCCTGGGGAGTATTTCCCTTAAGAATTTGTCTTTCAAGACAGCTTTGCTCCTGGCCTTGGCATCTGCCAAGCGGGCCAGTGATATGCATGCACTCTCTGTTCATCCCTCGTGCACTAAATTCTCTCTCAGTGGAGATAAGGTTTTTCTCAGGCCCAACCCGGCCTTTATGCCAAAATGGTTCCCGGCATTCACGTGTAAGGTGATTGAGCTTTCCGCGTTTAACCCAACTCCTTTCTCCTCCACAGAGGATCAGAGGTTGAACACTTTGTGTCCTGTACTACGTGCCCTGCGGGCATACTTAGACAGGACCAGCTCGTTTAGAAAAAGCGACCAGCTTTTCATCTCTTGGGGCCCCCCGCACTCAGGGAACCCCATTTCCAAGCAACGCCTTTCTCATTGGCTTGTGGAAGCTATATCTTTGGCATATGAATCCAAGGGAGTGCAGCCCCCAGAGGGCATCAGAGCTCACTCCACTAGAGGTATGGCTGCCTCTTGGGCTCTATTTAAGGGAGTCTCTTTGCAGGTCATATGTGCCGCTGCAAGCTGGGCCTCTCCCCATACGTTTGTCTGATACTACCGGCTCGATGTCACCAGAACCCCGGTAGCTTATTCTGTCCTGGGTGTCGGCTCTTTGTAGCTTTGTGCTCTTAGGCCCTCCACCCCTCTTTAAGTCTGGGCTGCCTAGTCCAGCACTTTAAAGTCACTAAGCATGTTTCTAATCTGCACCTGGCACCATATGTTCACCATTATGAGTGTGGTCAGGTTTATTCACGAATGCATGTTACCATATGCTATTCTTTGTTGCTAAAGTGGCTTCCTCAGTGCCCTTCCCATAGGTGGATCTCTCCACTCGATGTTTCAGAGAACCGGGGTTGTGGTCAGTAACCTATTGTTTTAATAATAATTGTACTATAGTATTACATTAAGATTTACATTATACTGTACAAGAGTGATATATTTCTATCACAGTTTCTTTAAGTCAAACCAAACTTTTATTTTGGAAACCCATCAAATATAAAACAAAACCCTTCTTTTTTCTTTTCTTTTTTATTAATGCCAAAAGAAAGAAATTGTAACAAATACATAACAACAGTAACAATAAAACCCAGGACATATGTCACGAAAACAGTACAAATAAAATAGCATAAAGCCATAGGGGATACAAATTTTTTTTTTAAAAGGTAAATAACATTATACATGGTTAAACATTGAAAGTTGACCTTTTTTATGCCCATCAAAGACAAAACATATGAATTATAGTCTACCAGAAAAATTGACAGTAGCGGGATCTTACCCAAGAATTTGCATTTGTGAATAAAAAATTTGCCAAGTATCATAAACAAATTAACAATGTACTGGAAATACATATTTGAATTGTGGTAAAGAAAATAATATTAAAGGTGTTAATACATATTCTGATATTTGTTTTTTCCTGAGAGAGATGGGTACATAACTCATTCCAAAAAGCTTTAACACAAACACATTCACAAGAAGATGTACAATTGTCTCTTCTACATCACAGAAAGTGCATTTATTTTCAATGTTTTGGATATACTAATTGAGTGCACTATAACAAGGGTAGCATCTATGCAATATTTTTTAAATGTAATTTCTTTGATTTTGTTTGTTAAAAGATATGTGTGTGGAAGAGACCAGACAAGAGTCCAATTAACATTGTATTACGTCGTCATCCATTTGAAAGATGATGCTGGAATAGATTTTCTGTTAAAATTGAATTTGTCATCAGTAATCAAACTTGTAAATTTTGAAATAGAAGTGTTGTACAATAGAACTATAGGTTTGCTCTCCTTTCAAGAGTTTTCAAGTGCACTAAGAGTTTCAAGAACACTAGGAATGACGTTGAATACAATATTTTATTCATTTAATGAAGCTCCACAATCAATTTTTTTCTGGAGAATTCTGAAACGGAATAAAACTGACAATTGTCATCCATCAGCTGATTAACAATATAAATGTTATTTAAATATCATCTCTCAGAAAATATTGATTTATTTCTGTAAATAATATTCTGATTGTTCCAAATAAAACAACGGTGAGGTGAAAAATTATGTTTGTAAACCAGTAACCACGATAATAAAAACCTGTTGGTGACATTTTGCTAATTTAATGGGTAGTTTTCCAAGTGAGAAGGGGCACTGTAACAAAAATTCAATATCTCCAATTTTCTTAAAAACAAAATTAGGAAATGTGTTCCATATGAAGTCTGTTTTTTTTTAAATAAATCTTTTTAACCAATTTACTTTTAGCACATGGTTAAATAGGGTAAAGTCAACAAGTCCAAGACCTCCATCACTAACCTTATTTCTTAGAACCTCCTTTTTAATTTTGTGTGATTTATTTTTCCATATGAAATTATACAATAATTTATCTAATAAGGAACTTGGGACAGTCCATTACAGAGAAGTAAACTAGTGTTTTCCTTGATGCCTCGCCACAGCCAATCACCAGCACTTGATTTGTGCACATCATACATGATGCATGCTGATTGTTTCACTGACGTTGACAAGATTAACCCCTCAGGTATCCAAATTTGGTACCGAATGACAAGACAATTTTTGATACTCGATCGATGGTATCGAGGCAATTCGGTCGGTGCCTAAAAAGTATGGAAGTCGATACCCAGCAACCCTAATACAGATTGGTCATATATGAGGCGCTATATAGATAAAGATGACTTGTCTTAACTTGACTTTTAAAACAAAGCAAATGAAGCTGTGATGACTTGTTTCCAGTCTTCAGTCTCTCATGTTCTTGCTCAGACGTGGACAGGCTCTGATCTCTCTGGTGTGGCGGCTTGAGTTCCTGTCAGGTTGGGGTTGGACTTCAGGCTTCGGGTCGAGTCTCCAGCTCAAGCCCTCCACCAAGGACAGCAAGTGTGCTCTTTCCTATCCAATACACAGATTATATGAACAAGTCAACTCATGAATGATATTTTAAGAGCTGTTTTACAACAGAATTGAATTCTATTTGCACTGATTCTGTTATTTTCCTGTCTACCGTGAAGCCGCTTTGAAACAATCTGTATTGTACAAAGCGCTATATAAATGAAGGTGACTTGACCATAACAAGAACATTACAATGAACACAAATTTGAAAATCTCACTACTAACAATCCAGAGTTGAAGACAAATGATAATAATCCTACTCTGTCTGTTACACTTCCTCACACCTGAAATCACTGATCGAGTGAATCTCCTGAACTCCTCCGATCTACAGTAGATCATTTCTAATCCATTTATGTTGGGACATCTGCTCTAACGTGGGCCGCTTCGCTGGATCCCGGGCTAGACACTGGCTAATCAGATCACTGCATTCTGTACAAATGTTAACAAGGAGAGAGCTGGTTAGTCATGTGACTTGGAATCTATGAAAACAGCATCTAAAACATGACTAACATAATGTCAAATGTTCCTTATCTTTACTTTAAAAGTGAAGTATATCGTTTCTGCGACACTAGTGGCATCGAGTGGAATTACAAAATAAAGCATATTTTCAACAAAAAAACTCGCAGAGGCCTCTTTCGTGCATCGATCGCGTCTTCCCCAACTTAAACATCGCTCATATTATTCCTATTCATATTACATATTATTCACTCACCTCTGGTTAAGTTGGAATTCTGAAATGTAACTTTGGCTTCTATGACTTCCGTTCTACTGTGAAAAGGACGAGATGCGTTCACCATCTCATACAACATCACTCCTAGAGCCCAGACATTTGCTGGGACGGCGTGGAATCTGGGTTCTGTGAAGACTTCAGGTGGGCAGTGATCCTGTCTTCCTGTAAGCAAGACATTTGCACATTGTTGAGCTTTTTTTCTTAAAGCGTCACTACATTCAGGTTTCCATACTCCCAAAATGCTCACCAAGGTATATGTCGCTCTCGTAGCCCTCACTACTGAATAGCTGACCGCAGCCAAAGTCTATCAGCTTGAGGTCTAACGAGTTTCTCTTCAGCAGGAAATTCTGCGCATGAATGTCATTGTGAAAAACGCCATGCTCGATGCAGTGTTGAACTGCCAGAACAGCCTGTTGCGTGAAGACCCGTGCTACTGTTTCACACACTTCAGGATTACGGCGAGTGATGAAGTCCAGCAAGCTCTCGCAGGGTTCGGGGAACTCCATAATGAGAGAGAATTTGCGAGGGTGTTCAAACCACTCGTATAGTTGAATGACGTAGGGGCTTATGGGTTCTCGCCTCATCATTAGCAGCAGCGCCACTTCTGTAATGAGAGGTTCGGGATGTCCAGGCTAGAGAAAAGCAGTAGACAGGAGGTTAGCTGGGTGAAAATCTGACGGAAACATCTCACTTTTCTTTGATCTTTTTAGATACGTTCAAAAGAGCCTCAAAAGAGCTCAAAGTTTTTTCTGTTGTGGCTCTAGGCTTATTTGTCAATCACATTTACACCTAATGCTTCCTATGGGTGTATTAACTACAGCAATCTGCACTTAAACAACTAAATACATATTCAGGTTTTGGCCGACTTACAATATCAAGATAAAGAAAATTGTCAAACTTGCGCATCCGCTTGATGGCAACCTGCAAAAAAAAAAAAAAAACAGTTTCAGTAACAGTTTTCAAGCACTTTCTTGCACTAAGTATTAAACCATCTGTACATTCTTTTGAATATGTTTTGATGCGCGCAAAAGCAAAATGTTTGTACAATTCGGGAAGATTTACCCTTTTGCCATCAAATTTGCGTGTTCCCCTGTACACACTGCCAAACGCTCCGCATCCAATCATCTCTCCCGCTTTATAGAGAGACTCAAAGGACTCTGAAAAACAAACAGAAAAATAACAGAGGAATATCAGTCCTGGTTGTGTCGAGAAAATAATAATATTAATATGGTGAAAATAATATGAATATTCTCTGAAAACAAGTCTTAATATATATCTTCAGTGGAAAACAAGAAGGCAATACTGTTTAAAATAATCTCGGAGAAATAAGGACTGGCGATTTACCATTATTTGGCTCGACGCCGGAGAGATCTGGTGCAGGTGACGATGATGGATCAGGATCAGGATCAGGATCAGGTGACGATGATGGATCAGGATCAGGATCAGGATCAGGTGATGATGATGGATCAGGCTCTGGCTCCAGATCTGCTGGAGGGACAAAAGGCTCCACAACATCCACAGCACAACTGTGGCAACAGCAGCAGAAAGAACCCTTCATTGCCTCCCATAGCCAGTCGAGGAAACGACCAATTCTTTTCCTCTTCCTTGTAGGTTTTTCTGAAATGAAGAGAAACATCTCTGATGTCATATGAATGATATCATGACATAACTTACATTTTACTGTTAAATTATTTTCTGTAATGTTACAAATCCAAAGTAATGGAAATATTTCCAAGCTACCCTTCTGCTAAATGCCTGCATAAATGTCCCAAAATCGCATTTCACAACTATCATGACTCAGTAATCCTCGGCACGACGGCCATTTTGACAATTTTGAGGGTATTTGACAATTCAATTGCAATAAGTCAGAAATATAATTCGATTGGGGATGGAATGCTGTCTGAGAATCGGCTTTCTGTGCGCGTGCTTCTGGTGTGTGTCAGACAGCGCAAGTACCATTGAGGTCACGGCTTATTGAGAGCGTTTTGCTAATGTTTCCATAAAGTTAAGCAATCGTTATTTCTAAATGTTCCCTGAACGTTCATAACGTCCAGTTTTTTCAATGTTTCAAAAATGTTTTTTGTTGGTTAAAGGAAGACTAAATTTTATAATTTTGCATTTTTGGGAACGTTCATTTGATAAAAAATCACCGGACATTAACATGCTAAAAACTAGAAGCATGAAATAGCAAAATCTCTATCTGTACACTTCACACTGCCCAGCCTGATTTCAGTCTCACCTGTTGAGCTCTTGTTCACAGGAGAAGCCTCCATGGCACCCTGAGCAGTTCGGCCTCTTGAAGTCTCTGTTGGCTCTACAGGAACTTGACCCGGCAGCGGAGGGCACCGCCACCCTTCCAAGCTGTCGGACCTGGACAAACCGCAGCTGCTGCCACTGTCCTGTTCGCTTCGGCTCTCCGAATCATCACACCTCCATTCCACGGTGTACGAGCCTCTGCTGCTCAGCCTCAACAACTCTCTGCATAACCTCCTCTCCACATTGTCCTCAGAGACGGACAAAGATGATGATGAGTCTGTGGAAAATTTCAGACATCAAAAACAGTTTTTTTTATTTTATAATATTGATATGTAAGAATTGGTCAAAGCCTATTCTGACCTCTGCGAGAGTGTTTAGGTGAAGTGGACGGACGTCCATCATCTGGGCTCTTCTGGCTGCCGCTCTGCCACTCCTTCCTCCTGTGAGCCGGACCTGTGGACACAGAAACAGACAACTCAGAAGACGAAGACTGTGTTAAATATCCATGAAGATAAAGATGATGATGAGTCTGTGGAAAATTTCAGACATCAAAAACTGTTTTTTTGTGTGTGTAATAATATTGATATGTAAGAATCGGTCAAAGCCTATTCTGACCTCTGCGAGAGTGTTTAGGTGAAGTGGACGGACGTCCATCATCTGGGCTCTTCTGGCTGCCGCTCTGCCACTCCTTCCTCCTGTGAGCCGGACCTGTGGACACAGAAACAGAAAACTCAGAAGACGAAGACTGTGTTAAACATCCATGAAGCTCCTGGATCTGTGTCTGGGTCGGGTCTGGCAGCGGATCCTGGTCACGGTCATCGGAAACGGGTCTCCAAACCTCCTGACCAGCCGTCTGAGAGAAAGCAGCTCTCCTGGATCTGGAGCGGCCTGAGGCTGGAATATTTCACATAGTTAACCAATACTCAATGTCAGTGGTCAATTACAAATTGTTACTATAGTATACATAACATGATTATATGCAAGGAATCAAATATACAGTATGTGATCACTTAGCTGGGAACATTGGGCGATCAAATTTACCTTGCACAAGTTTCTTCACATTCATATAACGTTACTCAATCATTGTACAACAATATCATACCATTTACAAATAAAAAACTAAAGCCCTCACCTCCTCTTCCCCACATGTGAGCCATTGACATCCTCCAATCTGCAATAAAAACAATTTTAAAAAAGGAACAAAACACAACTCTACTAAAGGTTAATACTAAAAATTAAATAAAACAATAAACTAAAAATTAAATAAAACGCCAAACTCCTTCTAACGTAGGAAAAGAACAATTAAATATTAGTCTCCACAAAAACAATATGAACTCTTTAAAACATAAAAATATGTAAAGGATTATGCTCCGATATTCTTATAGAATAAAAGTCTCTTCTCAGCTTCAGCTTCACAAGTTTTGCATAGAATTTTTTTTTGCAAACGTCTCTGAATTGTTCGCCTCGTCTCTCAACCAACTCAGAAAGCGATCACTTCAAATGTAAACATATGCAGTCAGAATGCATAACGCGTCGTTATAGCAACTAAAATTCAAATCATTCATAACCACTCACGTAACGTTACACCTGAAGCGCTCATCGAATCAAAACACATTTATTGAAAAGTAACCAACTTAATTTTAAACAGTTATTATTACTATTATTAATATTATTATATTACTATGATAATCCGTGAAATCATTCTTGCCTAAAATCTTCATTAGCTAACGTTATTCATAATTGAGAAAATTAGCGCCGACTTTGCACGGCACTTAAAGTCTAATGGATCCCATGGTCATCGCTTCTGTCCAAAACGTGTGCAAAAAGTCACAATAAGCGAGGATAAATCGGACATCATCGTTTTATTATAAAGTGTAGAAGACATATTAAATTTCCGCATATAACATCAAACCAATCAGATTGCAGTATCACTAATGCATCATCACACCGGTTAGTTGTAGAGTGGTGAAGAAAAGAAAAATCCAAATTAATAAACCCATTTATGATTTTACTAATCATGGAGTGGAGGATGACGTTCTTCATTTATTTTACAATGATCAGCTTTCTCAAACAATGTTTAAGTTATTAACAGTTTATCTGCGCTGTCATGTGCTCATTCGGACTGAAATAGTAGAAGCATTAAGAATAGTCTATGGTGGTAATAAAACAAAATCAGACATCGAAAAAAAAGAACTTTATATGAATAAAATTCAATTCTAAACTTTCCGTGATTGACTTTTCCGATGGACGGCAAAAACAATGGTAATTTTGCCCTGATATTTTAATTACATTAATTCCTACATTTCTTAAATCAAATGACAGAATCCCAATCAAAGAAATACATCTGAATTAAATGCCTATATTTTTAAAAGTGGTGTCAATTCCAATAAACTGTGACTTTATTAAATCATTGTTATCAATTAGCTTAGGGCTATAATAGGCTATGGTGAATATTCAAGGCTTTGAAAATTAATACATTCATTTTTATACATGACTGTATTAATTTCAGTTAATACAGTTGGAGCTGGGGAAGGTGGAGGGTTTCTGAAAGCGCGCTGGAACTACAGCAAATGCTAACAACGTATATGAAAGTTGAGCAGCAAGCGAGCTCATTGGCTACGGATACAGCAGGAACCAATCAGCTTTGTCCTATAGTGATGATGTGATTGTTGACATGTTATGAACTCTATAAAACTCCAAAGTAACCATCTGTGGAAAAATGCAGTACCAACCACCTAGACCTAGCAACACCATAGCAACTAGCCAGAACAACCTAGCAACCGAGAACATTTTCTTCAGGAAATGTAAATTCTAGTTATTATTGTCCACAGGCTCTAGTCTCATTATAGGGTTATGTTTTAGACAGACTCAACAATGCACTGAAGTTTGCAACCATGTAAATTTTTAAGTACAGTTTTGTTTTGAGAAGCAGCAGTCTTGTTTCAGTTCAAAGGTTTCTCATAGGCCGAGACTGTTTAAAAGCATTTCTTCTTTTTTTATTCATTGAAAGCATTTATTCAAAGGGCTCATTTATACAGATTGGGGCTGGGTATCGGTCAAACATGTTCCATTATCCAAACCGATACCATGACTTCGATACCGGTTCCTGAACGATACTTTTTTCGATACCAATTTTATGAACAGATAATATTATAGCAGAGGCTGGAACATTTGTGCAACGAGACATCTAGTTTCATCAAAAAACATGTGTAATTAATTTGAAATCATGAAACTTATCATGAAAATACTAATTTATTAACAGTGTAACAAAAAATACATTCTTAATGTCTTTTTCTTCAAATTCCAATTTTATTTATTTTTTTACCCATTCCTGTGCTTTCTGTTTTATTTTGTCTATATGGTTTAAACAAAAACATGTCTAAAGAATTGAATTCATAAAAAACAAAGTAATAATAGTTTGGCCCTATGAAATGTAAAAAAAAAAAAAAAGAAGAAAATTCTGTATTGTGTATTTCAATTTTTCTGGTAATCAAATGAAGGCATAAAACATTAATTTATCTTTTATTCAAATGAAAATTAAACAAGCCTTTTAATTTGTTTGGCAAACAAGTGCTACACAACAGAGGCTTACTGTTAAAATTATAACATGGAAGAAAATTTGTTCTCTTTCACCATCTCGTGTTCGAGATCCACCTATGGGAAGGGCATCCGCACCTGACCTCTGCAGAAACATCCAATTGCACCAAGTCTGGCCTGACAGACAGAAGCGCGTGTCCAATGCTCGGTAAGGGACCCTTACCAAGTGTATAAAACACTAGCACGCGCTATCTTACCTCAGTTGTTATTCGCTTCTCGCGACCTCTTTGCTTCGCAGCTCTACGGTTTTCGCTGACTTCACCACAGTCAACAGGAGGAAATATCTATTCGATCAGCTTCCGCCAGGCATTCCGTCAGACGGTTGCGTTTAGTTGCGATTTATTTCTGGTTACAAGCCACCCTCACTCGCTACCTGGATTTGTTTAGGCTGCCCGCCTGTTTCTCAGCTTTCACCTCTCCGATGGATCACAAGCTCTCCAGTTCCACTAACCCATCGGACGTGCAGTCACTCATTGCTGCGAGGGATGCCCATCCCTTTTGCGTGGTATGCATGGGATTAAAGCACGCGGAGGAAGCGCTTTCACTTCCTGAGAACTGCACCCATTGCCTCGCCCTGCCTAGGAAGCTTCTTCGACGTAGACTCAAGGTTGCATCCACCCAAAGCACGGACGCACAGTACGACTCGGACGCTGGAGTAGGTGAAAGCGTTGCAGCTCCGGGGACTTCCCGGAGCATGCCTTCTCTCAGTTGGGCTGACCAGTCTAACGAGGGCCTACTCGAGGAAATCCTTCCTGGTATTTCCTCGCTCGACTACGAGCCACCCGGCTCAGGCGAGGACGAGGACCCTGCTATACTTGGTGGCTCGGACGACGAGGAAACCATCCCGTCCGCCCAAGCTCCCCCGGTTAGCGGCTCAGCTACACTGCCGCACGCGGTCCTTCTCAAGGTGTGTGAGCGAGCGGCGGCTCGTCTCGGCATGGAATGGCCGGCCCTCCAGAATGCCGCCAACCAAGAGAGGGATGTGTATGACGGCAAACTCCTAGGTCCCCCTCCCGGTCCTAGGAAGCAGCTCATGCCTGTACTCCCTGCGTGCGCTAAGCACATGTGACACTATTGGAAGGACCCGCTAGATCTTAATCACGGCTTGGCGGGTCTGGAGGTTAAGGATATGGCAGCGTGTGGCATGGGCGACCCTCCCACCATCGAGCCCTCGATTGCCAGACACCTTAACCCCTCGCAGGGAGGGTTACTGGCCCCTCCTAAGCCAGTTCTCCCTAATAAGATGGACCGCTTCTCAGCATCTGTCTTCCAGGCCTCGTACAAGGCCTTGGCTCTCGCGGTACGGGCTCTAAATGTTTCCTCCCTCCTCTCGGCCTACCAGGCTGAGCTGTTGGAGGATATGAGTTCTCATTTGGAGAAAGGCGTGTCATCGCCGACGCTGTGGAAGGAGATCGTTACCGTGAACGACCTGGTCCTTCGTAACGCCCACCAGGCCGTCCAAGCCGGCGGACGTTCTATGGCCCTCTGTGTTGTGGGGGAATGCGCCCTCTGGCTCAATCTCTCTGGTCTGCCCGACAGCGAGAAAAGACGCATAGCAGGAGCCCCAGTGAAACCAGGCCAGGCTCTTTTTGGCCCTGCTGTTGCACTTATCCAACACCGGTGCGATGATAAGAAGGAGGATGAGGCGTTTAAACTGTGCCTGCCTAGAAAGGCCACTCCACACCATCCCCCCGCACGGCCCCCTCAGGCCCCGGCCACAGGGCGGCCGTACCATAACACAGCCAGGCCTAAGGCTCGCAGCAGGCCACCCAGCCAGCAGCCCAACCATCCTCCTAAGCCACCCACTCTACCCCGTCGGACGGGAAGAGGAAGAGGCCTACCTGATGCTCAGCTCCAGGGGCTTCTCGGTCCAGGTTTTCAGGCGACCAGCCCATTGGACACAAGTTTGAGTCCACAAGTTTGAGTTACGGGCGACCCATGTCCCTGGCATACTGAACAGGGGCGCATACCTCTTGTCAAGGGGAAACCCTCTCTACGAGGACTGGCGCCTCCATCCTCAGATAGTGGGTCTACTGTGGAGGAGGTTCGGCCAGGCAACCGTAGATCTCTTCATCTCGCGCGAAAATGCCCATTGTCCTATGTTCTTCTCGCTACGGGACGAGGACGCCCCCCTCGGCGTGGACGCACTGGCCCATCCGTGGCCCAACATGCTGCTCTATGCATTTCCTCCCCTTTGCCTCATAACGCCGGGTGAGGGAACAGAGCTTGACCATGATTTTGATAGCTCCCAGGTGGGCCAAGGCACCGTGGCTCTCAGAGATTATCCCTCTGCTGTATGCCCAGCCATGGCCCCTCCCACTTCGCACAGACCTTTTGTCTCAAGCGAACGGGGAAATTTATCACCCGCTCCCAGACAGGGTGGCCCCCTGGGCCTGGCCCGTGAGAGGGCCAACTTAAACACATTGGGGCTCCCCCCACGTGTTGTGGCCACCATTCAGTGTGCCAGAGCCTCTTCGACGCGGTCTCTTTACGACTGTAAGTGGCGTGTGTTCGAAGAGTGGTGTGAAGGGCGACGGGTAACGTCTTATCAGTGCTCAGTCACTGACATTTTATGCTTTTTGCAGGACCTTGTGGATAAGGGAAGATCCTTTTCCACAATTAAGATCTATTTAGCAGCTATCGCTGCATGTCATGTGGGGTTCGACAGCGCTACGGTGGGGCAACACCCCCTTATTCGTAGGTTTATGAAGGACGCACGCCGCTCTCTTCCAGTCCCCAGAAGAGTCGTTCCTGAGTGGGACCTCTTCATGGTGCTGGATGCGATGTCTCAACAGCCGCTTGAGCCCCTGGGGAGTATTTCCCTTAAGAATTTGTCTTTCAAGACAGCTTTGCTCCTGGCCTTGGCATCTGCCAAGCGGGCCAGTGATATGCATGCACTCTCTGTTCATCCCTCGTGCACTAAATTCTCTCTCAGTGGAGATAAGGTTTTTCTCAGGCCCAACCCGGCCTTTATGCCAAAATGGTTCCCGGCATTCACGTGTAAGGTGATTGAGCTTTCCGCGTTTAACCCAACTCCTTTCTCCTCCACAGAGGATCAGAGGTTGAACACTTTGTGTCCTGTACTACGTGCCCTGCGGGCATACTTAGACAGGACCAGCTCGTTTAGAAAAAGCGACCAGCTTTTCATCTCTTGGGGCCCCCCGTACTCAGGGAACCCCATTTCCAAGCAACGCCTTTCTCATTGGCTTGTGGAAGCTATATCTTTGGCATATGAATCCAAGGGAGTGCAGCCCCCAGAGGGCATCAGAGCTCACTCCACTAGAGGTATGGCTGCCTCTTGGGCTCTATTTAAGGGAGTCTCTTTGCAGGTCATATGTGCCGCTGCAAGCTGGGCCTCTCCCCATACGTTTGTCTGATACTACCGGCTCGATGTCACCAGAACCCCGGTAGCTTATTCTGTCCTGGGTGTCGGCTCTTTGTAGCTTTGTGCTCTTAGGCCCTCCACCCCTCTTTAAGTCTGGGCTGCCTAGTCCAGCACTTTAAAGTCACTAAGCATGTTTCTAATCTGCACCTGGCACCATATGTTCACCATTATGAGTGTGGTCAGGTTTATTCACGAATGCATGTTACCATATGCTATTCTTTGTTGCTAAAGTGGCTTCCTCAGTGCCCTTCCCATAGGTGGATCTCTCCACTCGATGTTTCAGAGAACCGGGGTTGTGGTCAGTAACCTATTGTTTTAATAATAATTGTACTATAGTATTACATTAAGATTTACATTATACTGTACAAGAGTGATATATTTCTATCACAGTTTCTTTAAGTCAAACCAAACTTTTATTTTGGAAACCCATCAAATATAAAACAAAACCCTTCTTTTTTCTTTTCTTTTTTATTAATGCCAAAAGAAAGAAATTGTAACAAATACATAACAACAGTAACAATAAAACCCAGGACATATGTCACGAAAACAGTACAAATAAAATAGCATAAAGCCATAGGGGATAAATTTAAAAAAAAAAAAAAAGGTAAATAACATTATACATGGTTAAACATTGAAAGTTGACCTTTTTTATGCCCATCAAAGACAAAACATATGAATTATAGTCTACCAGAAAAATTGACAGTAGCGGGATCTTACCCAAGAATTTGCATTTGTGAATAAAAAATTTGCCAAGTATCATAAACAAATTAACAATGTACTGGAAATACATATTTGAATTGTGGTAAAGAAAATAATATTAAAGGTGTTAATACATATTCTGATATTTGTTTTTTCCTGAGAGAGATGGGTACATAACTCATTCCAAAAAGCTTTAACACAAACACATTCACAAGAAGATGTACAATTGTCTCTTCTACATCACAGAAAGTGCATTTATTTTCAATGTTTTGGATATACTAATTGAGTGCACTATAACAAGGGTAGCATCTATGCAATATTTTTTAAATGTAATTTCTTTGATTTTGTTTGTTAAAAGATATGTGTGTGGAAGAGACCAGACAAGAGTCCAATTAACATTGTATTACGTCGTCATCCATTTGAAAGATGATGCTGGAATAGATTTTCTGTTAAAATTGAATTTGTCATCAGTAATCAAACTTGTAAATTTTGAAATAGAAGTGTTGTACAATAGAACTATAGGTTTGCTCTCCTTTCAAGAGTTTTCAAGTGCACTAAGAGTTTCAAGAACACTAGGAATGACGTTGAATACAATATTTTATTCATTTAATGAAGCTCCACAATCAATTTTTTTCTGGAGAATTCTGAAACGGAATAAAACTGACAATTGTCATCCATCAGCTGATTAACAATATAAATATTATTTAAATATCATCTCTCAGAAAATATTGATTTATTTCTGTAAATAATATTCTGATTGTTCCAAATAAAACAACGGTGAGGTGAAATATTATGTTTGTAAACCAGTAACCACGATAATAAAAACCTGTTGGTGACATTTTGCTAATTTAATGGGTAGTTTTCCAAGTGAGAAGGGGCACTGTAACAAAAATTCAATATCTCCAATTTTCTTAAAAACAAAATTAGGAAATGTGTTCCATATGAAGTCTGTTTTTTTTTAAATAAATCTTTTTAACCAATTTACTTTTAGCACATGGTTAAATAGGGTAAAGTCAACAAGTCCAAGACCTCCATCACTAACCTTATTTCTTAGAACCTCCTTTTTAATTTTGTGTGATTTATTTTTCCATATGAAATTATACAATAATTTATCTAATAAGGAACTTGGGACAGTCCATTACAGAGAAGTAAACTAGTGTTTTCCTTGATGCCTCGCCACAGCCAATCACCAGCACTTGATTTGTGCACATCATACATGATGCATGCTGATTGTTTCACTGACGTTGACAAGATTAACCCCTCAGGTATCCAAATTTGGTACCGAATGACAAGACAATTTTTGATACTCGATCGATGGTATCGAGGCAATTCGGTCGGTGCCTAAAAAGTATGGAAGTCGATACCCAGCAACCCTAATACAGATTGGTCATATATGAGGCGCTATATAGATAAAGATGACTTGTCTTAACTTGACTTTTAAAACAAAGCAAATGAAGCTGTGATGACTTGTTTCCAGTCTTCAGTCTCTCATGTTCTTGCTCAGACGTGGACAGGCTCTGATCTCTCTGGTGTGGCGGCTTGAGTTCCTGTCAGGTTGGGGTTGGACTTCAGGCTTCGGGTCGAGTCTCCAGCTCAAGCCCTCCACCAAGGACAGCAAGTGTGCTCTTTCCTATCCAATACACAGATTATATGAACAAGTCAACTCATGAATGATATTTTAAGAGCTGTTTTACAACAGAATTGAATTCTATTTGCACTGATTCTGTTATTTTCCTGTCTACCGTGAAGCCGCTTTGAAACAATCTGTATTGTACAAAGCGCTATATAAATGAAGGTGACTTGACCATAACAAGAACATTACAATGAACACAAATTTGAAAATCTCACTACTAACAATCCAGAGTTGAAGACAAATGATAATAATCCTACTCTGTCTGTTACACTTCCTCACACCTGAAATCACTGATCGAGTGAATCTCCTGAACTCCTCCGATCTACAGTAGATCATTTCTAATCCATTTATGTTGGGACATCTGCTCTAACGTGGGCCGCTTCGCTGGATCCCGGGCTAGACACTGGCTAATCAGATCACTGCATTCTGTACAAATGTTAACAAGGAGAGAGCTGGTTAGTCATGTGACTTGGAATCTATGAAAACAGCATCTAAAACATGACTAACATAATGTCAAATGTTCCTTATCTTTACTTTAAAAGTGAAGTATATCGTTTCTGCGACACTAGTGGCATCGAGTGGAATTACAAAATAAAGCATATTTTCAACAAAAAAACTCGCAGAGGCCTCTTTCGTGCATCGATCGCGTCTTCCCCAACTTAAACATCGCTCATATTATTCCTATTCATATTACATATTATTCACTCACCTCTGGTTAAGTTGGAATTCTGAAATGTAACTTTGGCTTCTATGACTTCCGTTCTACTGTGAAAAGGACGAGATGCGTTCACCATCTCATACAACATCACTCCTAGAGCCCAGACATTTGCTGGGACGGCGTGGAATCTGGGTTCTGTGAAGACTTCAGGTGGGCAGTGATCCTGTCTTCCTGTAAGCAAGACATTTGCACATTGTTGAGCTTTTTTTCTTAAAGCGTCACTACATTCAGGTTTCCACACTCCCAAAATGCTCACCAAGGTATATGTCGCTCTCGTAGCCCTCACTACTGAATAGCTGACCGCAGCCAAAGTCTATCAGCTTGAGGTCTAACGAGTTTCTCTTCAGCAGGAAATTCTGCGCATGAATGTCATTGTGAAAAACGCCATGCTCGATGCAGTGTTGAACTGCCAGAACAGCCTGTTGCGTGAAGACCCGTGCTACTGTTTCACACACTTCAGGATTACGGCGAGTGATGAAGTCCAGCAAGCTCTCGCAGGGTTCGGGGAACTCCATAATGAGAGAGAATTTGCGAGGGTGTTCAAACCACTCGTATAGTTGAATGACGTAGGGGCTTATGGGTTCTCGCCTCATCATTAGCAGCAGCGCCACTTCTGTAATGAGAGGTTCGGGATGTCCAGGCTAGAGAAAAGCAGTAGACAGGAGGTTAGCTGGGTGAAAATCTGACGGAAACATCTCACTTTTCTTTGATCTTTTTAGATACGTTCAAAAGAGCCTCAAAAGAGCTCAAAGTTTTTTCTGTTGTGGCTCTAGGCTTATTTGTCAATCACATTTACACCTAATGCTTCCTATGGGTGTATTAACTACAGCAATCTGCACTTAAACAACTAAATACATATTCAGGTTTTGGCCGACTTACAATATCAAGATAAAGAAAATTGTCAAACTTGCGCATCCGCTTGATGGCAACCTGCAAAAAAAAAAAAAAAAACAGTTTCAGTAACAGTTTTCAAGCACTTTCTTGCACTAAGTATTAAACCATCTGTACATTCTTTTGAATATGTTTTGATGCGCGCAAAAGCAAAATGTTTGTACAATTCGGGAAGATTTACCCTTTTGCCATCAAATTTGCGTGTTCCCCTGTACACACTGCCAAACGCTCCGCATCCAATCATCTCTCCCGCTTTATAGAGAGACTCAAAGGACTCTGAAAAACAAACAGAAAAATAACAGAGGAATATCAGTCCTGGTTGTGTCGAGAAAATAATAATATTAATATGGTGAAAATAATATGAATATTCTCTGAAAACAAGTCTTAATATATATCTTCAGTGGAAAACAAGAAGGCAATACTGTTTAAAATAATCTCGGAGAAATAAGGACTGGCGATTTACCATTATTTGGCTCGACGCCGGAGAGATCTGGTGCAGGTGACGATGATGGATCAGGATCAGGATCAGGATCAGGTGACGATGATGGATCAGGATCAGGATCAGGATCAGGTGATGATGATGGATCAGGCTCTGGCTCCAGATCTGCTGGAGGGACAAAAGGCTCCACAACATCCACAGCACAACTGTGGCAACAGCAGCAGAAAGAACCCTTCATTGCCTCCCATAGCCAGTCGAGGAAACGACCAATTCTTTTCCTCTTCCTTGTAGGTTTTTCTGAAATGAAGAGAAACATCTCTGATGTCATATGAATGATATCATGACATAACTTACATTTTACTGTTAAATTATTTTCTGTAATGTTACAAATCCAAAGTAATGGAAATATTTCCAAGCTACCCTTCTGCTAAATGCCTGCATAAATGTCCCAAAATCGCATTTCACAACTATCATGACTCAGTAATCCTCGGCACGACGGCCATTTTGACAATTTTGAGGGTATTTGACAATTCAATTGCAATAAGTCAGAAATATAATTCGATTGGGGATGGAATGCTGTCTGAGAATCGGCTTTCTGTGCGCGTGCTTCTGGTGTGTGTCAGACAGCGCAAGTACCATTGAGGTCACGGCTTATTGAGAGCGTTTTGCTAATGTTTCCATAAAGTTAAGCAATCGTTATTTCTAAATGTTCCCTGAACGTTCATAACGTCCAGTTTTTTCAATGTTTCAAAAATGTTTTTTGTTGGTTAAAGGAAGACTAAATTTTATAATTTTGCATTTTTGGGAACGTTCATTTGATAAAAAATCACCGGACATTAACATGCTAAAAACTAGAAGCATGAAATAGCAAAATCTCTATCTGTACACTTCACACTGCCCAGCCTGATTTCAGTCTCACCTGTTGAGCTCTTGTTCACAGGAGAAGCCTCCATGGCACCCTGAGCAGTTCGGCCTCTTGAAGTCTCTGTTGGCTCTACAGGAACTTGACCTGGCAGCGGAGGGCACCGCCACCCTTCCAAGCTGTCGGACCTGGACAAACCGCAGCTGCTGCCACTGTCCTGTTCGCTTCGGCTCTCCGAATCATCACACCTCCATTCCACGGTGTACGAGCCTCTGCTGCTCAGCCTCAACAACTCTCTGCATAACCTCCTCTCCACATTGTCCTCAGAGACGGACAAAGATGATGATGAGTCTGTGGAAAATTTCAGACATCAAAAACAGTTTTTTTTATTTTATAATATTGATATGTAAGAATAGGTCAAAGCCTATTCTGACCTCTGCGAGAGTGTTTAGGTGAAGTGGACGGACGTCCATCATCTGGGCTCTTCTGGCTGCCGCTCTGCCACTCCTTCCTCCTGTGAGCCGGACCTGTGGACACAGAAACAGACAACTCAGAAGACGAAGACTGTGTTAAATATCCATGAAGATAAAGATGATGATGAGTCTGTGGAAAATTTCAGACATCAAAAACTGTTTTTTTGTGTGTGTAATAATATTGATATGTAAGAATCGGTCAAAGCCTATTCTGACCTCTGCGAGAGTGTTTAGGTGAAGTGGACGGACGTCCATCATCTGGGCTCTTCTGGCTGCCGCTCTGCCACTCCTTCCTCCTGTGAGCCGGACCTGTGGACACAGAAACAGAAAACTCAGAAGACGAAGACTGTGTTAAACATCCATGAAGCTCCTGGATCTGTGTCTGGGTCGGGTCTGGCAGCGGATCCTGGTCACGGTCATCGGAAACGGGTCTCCAAACCTCCTGACCAGCCGTCTGAGAGAAAGCAGCTCTCCTGGATCTGGAGCGGCCTGAGGCTGGAATATTTCACATAGTTAACCAATACTCAATGTCAGTGGTCAATTACAAATTGTTACTATAGTATACATAACATGATATCATATGCAAGGAATCAAATATACAGAGTATGTGATCACTTAGCTGGGAACATTGGGCGATCAAATTTACCTTGCACAAGTTTCTTCACATTCATATAACGTTACTCAATCATTGTACAACAATATCATACCATTTACAAATAAAAAACTAAAGCCCTCACCTCCTCTTCCCCACATGTGAGCCATTGACATCCTCCAATCTGCAATAAAAACAATTTTAAAAAAGGAACAAAACACAACTCTACTAAAGGTTAATACTAAAAATTAAATAAAACAATAAACTAAAAATTAAATAAAACGCCAAACTCCTTCTAACGTAGGAAAAGAACAATTAAATATTAGTCTCCACAAAAACAATATGAACTCTTTAAAACATAAAAATATGTAAAGGATTATGCTCCGATATTCTTATAGAATAAAAGTCTCTTCTCAGCTTCAGCTTCACAAGTTTTGCATAGAATTTTTTTTTGCAAACGTCTCTGAATTGTTCGCCTCGTCTCTCAACCAACTCAGAAAGCGATCACTTCAAATGTAAACATATGCAGTCAGAATGCATAACGCGTCGTTATAGCAACTAAAATTCAAATCATTCATAACCACTCACGTAACGTTACACCTGAAGCGCTCATCGAATCAAAACACATTTATTAAAAAGTAACCAACTTAATTTTAAACAGTTATTATTACTATTATTAATATTATTATATTACTATGATAATCCGTGAAATCATTCTTGCCTAAAATCTTCATTAGCTAACGTTATTCATAATTGAGAAAATTAGCGCCGACTTTGCACGGCACTTAAAGTCTAATGGATCCCATGGTCATCGCTTCTGTCCAAAACGTGTGCAAAAAGTCACAATAAGCGAGGATAAATCGGACATCATCGTTTTATTATAAAGTGTAGAAGACAAATTAAATTTCCGCATATAACATCAAACCAATCAGATTGCAGTATCACTAATGCGTCATCACACCGGTTAGTTGTAGAGTGGTGAAGAAAAGAAAAATCCAAATTAATAAACCCATTTATGATTTTACTAATCATGGAGTGGAGGATGACGTTCTTCATTTATTTTACAATGATCAGCTTTCTCAAACAATGTTTAAGTTATTAACAGTTTATCTGCGCTGTCATGTGCTCATTCGGACTGAAATAGTAGAAGCATTAAGAATAGTCTATGGTGGTAATAAAACAAAATCAGACATCGAAAAAAAAGAACTTTATATGAATAAAATTCAATTCTAAACTTTCCGTGATTGACTTTTCCGATGGACGGCAAAAACAACGGTAATTTTGCCCTGATATTTTAATTACATTAATTCCTACATTTCTTAAATCAAATGACAGAATCCCAATCAAAGAAATACATCTGAATTAAATGCCTATATTTTTAAAAGTGGTGTCAATTCCAATAAACTGTGACTTTATTAAATCATTGTTATCAATTAGCTTAGGGCTATAATAGGCTATGGTGAATATTCAAGGCTTTGAAAATTAATACATTCATTTTTATACATGACTGTATTAATTTCAGTTAATACAGTTGGAGCTGGGGAAGGTGGAGGGTTTCTGAAAGCGCGCTGGAACTACAGCAAATGCTAACAACGTATATGAAAGTTGAGCAGCAAGCGAGCTCATTGGCTACGGATACAGCAGGAACCAATCAGCTTTGTCCTATAGTGATGATGTGATTGTTGACATGTTATGAACTCTATAAAACTCCAAAGTAACCATCTGTGGAAAAATGCAGTACCAACCACCTAGACCTAGCAACACCATAGCAACTAGCCAGAACAACCTAGCAACCGAGAACATTTTCTTCAGGAAATGTAAATTCTAGTTATTATTGTCCACAGGCTCTAGTCTCATTATAGGGTTATGTTTTAGACAGACTCAACAATGCACTGAAGTTTGCAACCATGTAAATTTTTAAGTACAGTTTTGTTTTGAGAAGCAGCAGTCTTGTTTCAGTTCAAAGGTTTCTCATAGGCCGAGACTGTTTAAAAGCATTTCTTCTTTTTTTATTCATTGAAAGCATTTATTCAAAGGGCTCATTTATACAGATTGGGGCTGGGTATCGGTCAAACATGTTCCATTATCCAAACCGATACCATGACTTCGATACCGGTTCCTGAACGATACTTTTTTCGATACCAATTTTATGAACAGATAATATTATAGCAGAGGCTGGAACATTTGTGCAACGAGACATCTAGTTTCATCAAAAAACATGTGTAATTAATTTGAAATCATGAAACTTATCATGAAAATACTAATTTATTAACAGTGTAACAAAAAATACATTCTTAATGTCTTTTTCTTCAAATTCCAATTTTATTTATTTTTTTACCCATTCCTGTGCTTTCTGTTTTATTTTGTCTATATGGTTTAATCAAAAACATGTCTAAAGAATTGAATTCATAAAAAACAAAGTAATAATAGTTTGGCCCTATGAAATGTAAAAAAAAAAAAAAAGAAGAAAATTCTGTATTGTGTATTTCAATTTTTCTGGTAATCAAATGAAGGCATAAAACATTAATTTATCTTTTATTCAAATGAAAATTAAACAAGCCTTTTAATTTGTTTGGCAAACAAGTGCTACACAACAGAGGCTTACTGTTAAAATTATAACATGGAAGAAAATTTGTTCTCTTTCACCATCTCGTGTTCGAGATCCACCTATGGGAAGGGCATCCGCACCTGACCTCTGCAGAAACATCCAATTGCACCAAGTCTGGCCTGACAGACAGAAGCGCGTGTCCAATGCTCGGTAAGGGACCCTTACCAAGTGTATAAAACACTAGCACGCGCTATCTTACCTCAGTTGTTATTCGCTTCTCGCGACCTCTTTGCTTCGCAGCTCTACGGTTTTCGCTGACTTCACCACAGTCAACAGGAGGAAATATCTATTCGATCAGCTTCCGCCAGGCATTCCGTCAGACGGTTGCGTTTAGTTGCGATTTATTTCTGGTTACAAGCCACCCTCACTCGCTACCTGGATTTGTTTAGGCTGCCCGCCTGTTTCTCAGCTTTCACCTCTCCGATGGATCACAAGCTCTCCAGTTCCACTAACCCATCGGACGTGCAGTCACTCATTGCTGCGAGGGATGCCCATCCCTTTTGCGTGGTATGCATGGGATTAAAGCACGCGGAGGAAGCGCTTTCACTTCCTG